AGTTCCAGGTCAGCTGGGGCTACAGGGAGACCCTGTCTCAAAAAGACCAAAAAAAAAATTTTTTTTTAATTTTATGTGTTTGAATGTTTTGCCTGCCTGTATGTAAGTGCTAGATTCCCTGGAGCTAGAGTTACAAAGTTTGTTAGCCACCATGTGGGTGCTGAGAGTTGAACCCAGGTCCTCTACAAGAGCAGCTAGTGCTCTTAACTGCTGAACCATCTCTCCAGTCCCTCTCCATCGTGTGTGTGTGCGTGTGTGTGTGTGTGTGTGTGTGTGTGTGTGTGTATTATTTTTGGTTTTATTGAGACAGGGTCTCCCGGTAGCCCCAGCTGGAACTCGCTATGTAGACCAGGCTGGCCTTGAACAGAGATCTGCCTGTCTCTGCCTCCTGAGTGCTGGGACTAAACGTGCACCACCATGCCTGGTTCCACCTTATTTTAAAAGACAACTTCTCTCATTGAACCCGGAGATTACCAGTTGAGCTAAACTGGCTGGTCAATGCGTTCCTTGGGTTTGTCTGCCTGTACTCCACTCCCAAGCTCTGGGATTACAACCACTGTTCCTAGCTTGTCCGTAAGTGCTGGGGATCTAAGTCAGGTCTTCATGCTTATACCTCCCCAGCCATTCTAAAACTGGCCAGTGTCGTCAGCTGGGACACAAATGACTCTTCCCTGCCTGGGATGTGGGCCTTGTGTTAGCATTGCTCTATGCCCCTCACCAGCCACCCCCCCCAAACCCTGGGGTGTTGGGATGTGAATTCCCCATCTCCCGGGGGCAGGTGACAGGCAGTAAGCCAAAGTGACTTCGAAATTCCCCCTATGGCCATGCTGGGCCTGGAGTGCAGACTAATTCAGGGTCCCCCTCCATGTGCACCCACCCCTGCTAGGTGTATGGAGGAGCCTAGGAGCCTGGGATTCCCACACAAACATGTCTGTCCTCCTCTGCTGGATTCCCATATGCCTCTCTTTTGGAGCTCCCAGACCACTCTCCAAATAGCTATGAAACAGAGTGGTTGATAGTAATTGCCAGGTTGCTTGGTCCCCGCCCCCCACCCTCCACACACACATTCAGGTCTTCCCCACCACCCCCATTCACACATTGGTGTTTTGCGGTACCTGCAGAGGTCAGAAGAGGGCATTGGAGCCCCTGGAACTGGAGTTATGGATGGTGGATGGTTGTTGGCTGCCATGTGGGGGCTGGGATTTGAACCCTGGTCTTCCGCAAAAACAGCCAGTGCTCTTAAGCCAGCCCTTTATTTTTCTTTTATACGGTGCTCATTTCGTTACAGAGCTGCGCTTCCCCCCTGTGCCTTAGGTACCCGCTGTGTCCCCTGCCCTCACCCAGCCAGCCATTAAAGGGCTCTATGCAAAGTGACCCACCAAACTTCCCAGAGCCCCTGGCTCTTCTTACGTGTGGGAGGTGAGGACTGGGAGAGCCTTGAGAGTCATCTCATCTAACGCCTCGTTTTGGCTTTTGTTCTGGCTACTGTGACAAAATACTCTGACAAAAGCAGCTCAGGGGAGAAAGTTTGCTGCGGGTGGTCAGTTCCAGGTTATGCTCCATCATTGCGGGTTCCTCGCAGAAGCAGTAGCTGACCCAGCTAGGCACATTACATCCATGGTCAAGAAGCAGGGAGCAGAGGCTGGAGAGATGCTCAGGGGTTCGGTGGGGCCAGGGAGATGCTCAGTGGTCACTCGGTGCTGGAGAGATGCTCATCAGATAAGAGTGGCTGCTGCTCTTGGAGAGGACCTCAGTTCTGGTCCCAGCATCCACACGGCAGCTCGCACAACCTCCCATAACTCCAGCTAAGGGGATCCAGCATTTCCTCCTGGCCTCCATGGACAACAGGTCCACAGATGGTACACATACATACATACAAGCAAACACTCATGCACATAAATAAATCTCTAAGGGAGTGGAGATCAAAGAATGGAAACCCTTCACCAGTGTGCCTTCAGGCCAGTCTAAGGTAGACACTCCTTTATAGAGACTCCCTTTCCAACTGGTTCCAAATTTTTTCAGGTTGGCAATTAACACTAACCATCAACCCCACCCCATCCTCACTCCCCACCCCACCACTAGTCAGAAGATTGAGGCCCAGAGAGGCTGTGAAGCTCGTTCAAAGTTGCACAGCTTGATTATGCTAAGGCTGGAATTAGAACCCAGGATTCCTGACTCCCAGCACAGTGCGTTCCTCTGAGGAGCTGGACAACAGGTGAGCTGTAATGTGGGGCTGACAGTGGGCTGTGGGGATATGATGAGAAAGTGTGTGCCAGGGCCTGGCACAAATGGGTTCCCGCGGGGTGGGTCCCCCCTTTCCTCTCCCCTTTCTACCACACGCAGAGCCATCCTGGGACACCCCCCTCACTGGGGCTGTCATCACCAGGAGGGCTGGGCACTGCCCAGTGGCCCCTCCCCATGAGCTGTTCCTTCCTGGGATTCCAAAGACCCCAGAGGATATGGAACTGCTGCTAGGCCGTGAGGTGCTGGTGCTTAATGTGGTTTGAGACGGGAGTTTGGTCTTCAGTGTGGTGCTGCTGGGAGATCAGAACTTTAAGAGGTGGAGGTTCTTAGATCACTGGGCTGCTGCCCTGGGAAGGGACTGTCTGGGTCCTGTTTGTCTGCCATGACGTCCTCTCCGAGTATAGGACACATGAAGTCACCCATGCCCAGACATCAGCCTCCTAAACTGTGACCCAAATAAACCTCTTGCCTTTCTAAAATTAACCTGCCTCAGGTATTTTCATTATGGCAGTGAAGGCCACACTCATGCAGGGATCTTTCTGAGGTTGAGGTCTACAACCTCGAGGTTGTAGGCCATACACTCCCAAGTCCCCAGGGAGTCTCTGTTGGATGGCTCCTCAGTTCTCAGCTCCTGAGGGTCATCTCCCCCTAAACCAGGCAGGCCCTCAGGAGCTTAGTCTTTGGGTCACCACATTCTGACCAGCTCCTCATCAGACTTCTATCCCTATCCCCCGGGATCAGAGGAGGCTGGACCAAGCCTTGGAAGATACAGGGGTGGATGGACGCAGCCCACTGCCACTGCAAGGCCGGCATGAATCTTTGGCTCCAACTGCACGGAGTTCTTTCTGCTGTCTGTGTTAGGCCTGTGGTGCTCAGGCAAGCTGGCATGTGTGTGGCCGGGCACTCAGCTCCAGGGCAGAGCAGCCTGGGTGCAGAAGCCCTGACCTGCTTGTTGCTGTGCCCCTTCCCTCCAGGCAGCTGGGTGGACCGTCCCAGCATTCCCTTCTTTACTGACCTCTGAGGAGGACACCCACTCCTGAGTGTGTCCCACACTCAGGTGGCCCCTGAAACCTTAGCTTCTGGAAACACTGCCCCCGGGAGCAGAATGTTCCTCCTCTCACAGACCAACCCAGCCTCGTCCCTGGAAGTAAACTGCATTCATACTCAGCAGCTCATGCTCCCATGGATGAAATGGAACATCCAAGAAATGTTTCCAGCAGAATTTTTTGTTTTGAGACAGGGTCTCATTCTGTAGCCCAGGCTGACTTAGAAGTCACTATATAGCCCATGCTGGCCTCAAACTCACAGTAATCCTCTTGCCTCAGCCTACCAAGTACTGGGATCACAGGCATGAGCCACCAGTTAACAGCAGATTATTTTCTTTATCCTTTTGAGGTAAGGTCTCACTATGTAGCCCTGGGCATCCTGGAATTCACAGAAATCCACCTGCCTCTGCCTCCTGTGTTCTGGGATTAAAGATGTGTGCCACCATCTTGGGCAGCAGAATTAAGATCTGAAAATCATTTTGTCTCCTAGTTCCTCAAAGAAGGACATTTGTGCCTTCTGAGGCTGACCTGGTCACTCTGGGAAGTAGATAGTGGTCTCCCTCATCCTGCTTCTGGCTTACAATGACAGGATAGGGCTGGATACTGTCCCTGGAGCTTAAGGACCAGCCCCCCAGTCCCTCTGGACAGTTAGTTGTGTCAGCAGAAGCTCCAGGCCCTGGCTTCCTGTTCAGCAGAAACCTGCCCCTTACCCCCTGTGGTCAGACTTTTCTACTCTGGTGAGCTTCCCTAGGGGTGTCCAGGATCCTTCCCCAAACCCTCAGGCCAGACTCCTTCCTTCTGACCACATAGGCATCCACTTTTTTGAATGCTAGTAGTGGGCCTAGAAGCTTCTCAGTTCCCATGCAGATAGAGGTGCAAGGTCCTGGGTGCTGCTCAACCACCCTAATGCATTTGGCGATCTCTTACTTGGGAAGGTACAGGGACTGACCAGAGGGCTGCAGGAGCTGAAACAGCCAGGGCCTAGGCAGCAAATCCATCCACTCCCTTCTGCTTCTGCATACCTGCTACAAGCAGACACCTGGGCCAGGGCCTGTCAGGCAAAAGAGAAGCCCAGCTTGGAGGCCCAGCTCAGGACCCTGGGCCAGATCCAGCATGGCATGACGGGGAAGCCACTGGCGGGAGAGGGGGGCGGTGTGCGTGTGCACACTCTGCTCATAAGACACTGCCAAGGAGGCCGTCTGTCCCCTGTTTGATTTCTGTGCTTCTCAATTCAGGCCAAGGTAGGGGTCCATCTGCTCAAGTGGGCAGAGAGAAAACATTTTCACTGTGCAGAGAATTGGCTTCAGAGGGAACCTGGTCTCAGCACAGAACCAGCAGGGAACAGCGCTGGCAGGTGGTGCTGGGGCTCTGCCTAGAGGCATTGCCCTGTGAGCCAGGACAGGGGCAGGGGAGATGGGGGTGGGG